ATTTGTTTTTGTAATTGTGTTTTTTAAAGAAAGGTGAATATGTGGGTAGTCATGTTGTAGTGTAGCAGTTATGAATTTTTACAGATTTTATTGTAATTTATTCTTAATAACCCATAATAGTGTGATCTGAACACCATCAAAAAACACTCTTAGTAAATCCACCAGGCAGGCAAGAACACCTGCCTACTCACTGTGGTACAAATACCAGAGGGCTAGCTCAGATGGCAGACCCAAATTCACCCGCTTCCCTCCCTGGTGGCATCAAAACCAATCACAATGCTCCCACACAGGAAACGTGACAAAATGGATTCCTGTCTACAAACCCAATGCAGTAAAGAGAAGTTTCAGGTTTTCATGTTTCATATTTCTTCTGCATAAGTTTGCAGAGCAGTGCCTCTGAGAGTTTAACAGGCAGTAAGATACTTGTATGGTCCCCAAGACTTTCCCACAAACAGTTCACTAAATACAAAGGGAAAAATAGTAACTTTCCTATTGGCACACATCTGGACCAGGTGAAAAATTTAATATCACCAACTCTTGGAATAATTAACATGATGGGTCTCCTGAAAAGGACATAGCATTTCTGTGGTGTTTCTGCCAAGTTTACCCTAGACCTAATCACAAGGAAATATCAGACCAACCCAATCCACTTGCTTAGATTTTTCAAAAACTGTCAATGTTTTGAAAGCAAAGAGAGGTGAGGCACAGGTTCAGATCAAAGACAAATAAGGAAAATTCATTAAACACAACGCACAGCCCTGGACTGGATCCTAGGCCAAGAAAACAAGGTAATATATAGGACATAAATGGGATGGTTGATAATATCACAAAGTGGGCTTATTATTAAACTTCCTGATTTTGGTAATAGTAATGTAAGAGAATTTCTGGAGGGTTTATTCTTCTTTGGGGGGAAAGGAATATGATTCCTGTAGTTTTCTTCAAATGATTCAGAAAAAAAGTATATGTCATTTGTCATATACATATACACTACATACATGTCACATAAACAGAGAGAAAATGATTTTTTAAAAGTGTGTCAAAATGTGAATACTTAGTGACTCTGGGAGAATATATCAAAGTTCTTTGTATATTATTGTAAATTTTCTTTTCTGTTTATTATTCCAAACAGACTTGAACCTCTAGCAAACAGGAAACCACTAGTAAAATAATGAGTCACCCTGGTGATTAGAATATAAAAATTAGTTCTTAATACACACTTGGTTGTAGATCTCTTGAGAAGAAGTTGTTTTCACCCCATATTTAATTTCTGCTTGTTTTATTTTGGGATGTCGCCACATCCACCCATGCTTAGCATAGATGCAATTATAACATACATGTCACCTTAATCTGATTTTTTGACATGTTCTCCCCAAGTCAAGGCTGAATTTGAACTCACTGTGAAAGCCAGATTGGTCTCAAACTCACTCCTCCTGCCTCCGCCCCTCAAGTGCTGGGATTACAGGTGGGCACTACCATGCTTGGCTTAATCTGATTGTCATAAAGATCTTTCCTTGCTTCGAACAGTTTTCCTAGTGACTTTTTTCTCATTATTCCTCTTGGAGTCCTGTAATGAAAATGGCCATAATTGTCAAGTTCCTTAAGGGAAGAACGGTATAATTCCATTTTTTTCCTTTTAATGATGACAGCAATGCTGAAAATATGCTAAGCACTTAAGTATGGCATTGAAAAAGAAGTACTAATACAAGTTAAATTCTAGAATAAAGGCCCCCCACAACAAAAAAGCCAAGAGAACAAATCAGTTTTATACAATGTGGCATACAGTTCTTGAAAATTCAACTAAAAATGCAAATGTGGTATTAACCACATATTTTTTCATGTTCTACCTTTTAAAGCAAAATTGTGATTATACCATTGAGTATATGCAGGCAATACTCCTGATAATTCTTACAGAGGAAACAAATATATAGTACTACAAGGTATGTTTTTTGCAACCTTTTGGTAATCTACATAGGACATTGAATTTTACAAATCGCAAAAGTTTTCCCTATTAACTGGTTTTATATTAATAACACATAAGCTTTATTACATTCAGGCTTCTGTCTACCGCATTTTGTTAAGCAAATGCTTTTTTATCCTACAAATCATTGCTGAACTTATATTTTGAAGGTGTAGTGTCAATCTAAATAACAATCAGAAAGAGAGTCTCCAAAGAATAGTGGTATTTATTCAGAAGTACCAGAGCACTGCAATAGGAAAGCCTGTGTATGTCAGTCATCTTTGTGTCACTGTGACAAAATACTGAGAAAAGCAATTTAAAGGAGGAAAGATTTAATTTGGTTCACAGATTCAGCAGTCACAGTGCGTGGTCAGTAGGCTCCATTGCTTCTGGGCCTGTGGTGAGGCAGAACATATGGCAGAAAGGCACAGCAGAGGAATATTGCTCCCCTTGTGGCAGCTAAGAAAGAGAGAGATGAAGATGAGAAAGGTAGAGATGAGGGCCAGGGTCCCAGAATAAGCCCATCTCCCCTTTGACCCATTTTCTCAGATTAGGTCCCACTACCTCGGAAGATTTCACCACCTCCCAGTAGTGCCACCAACTGGGGACCAGGTCTTCAACACATGACCCCGTGAGGAATATTCCATATCTAAACCACAATATTCCTCTCCTGGCCTCCAAGTGTCGTGCTCATCTCACAGTGGAAAATGAATTCAGTCCATCACCAAGAGTCTTCATAGTCTTACCAGTTCCAGCACTGCTCAAAAGTCCGAATCCAAAGTCTCCTCTGAAACTCAAGAGGAGGCTCTATTAAAATCACAAGAACAAGTTACATACTTCCAACATACAGTAGTGGAACCAGGCACACATTACCATTCCAGAAGGACTAGAAAACTAGCAAGGAGGAATCAGCAAAACAAGACTGAAACCTAGCATGAAAAACGCACTAAATTCTGTAGCTCCATGACCAGCATCTGGGGCATAAGGTGGAATGACACAAACTCAGAAGGCTTGGGCAGTTTTGCCCCTACACAGCCCACATGGTCACTCTCTTGAGCTGGCTCTGCTCCCCGTGGCTGTCCTCAGTATATCTTCATATTCCTGGCATCTCTAATTTCTTGGGGTCTTGGTAGTGTTTTGACTTAACTCTCACAGCCTCAGCACCGCTTTTTTCAAGGGCTGGTTGCAGGGACTCTAATTCTGCCACATGCCACTGGGCTTCCCAGACCTTCCTTGGAAACCTCCATGACCCTATAAACTCTTGTATTCTGCATGCCTAAAAAAGCAGCACCATGGGGATGATGCCGTCTGCTACCACCTCAAACAGTAGCTGGACACCCTTGGACAATGACTGCAGCGCCCTTTGAGTGCTCAAGTGGCGGGTCACTGGGAATCAATTTCCTAGGTAGCCCTCTGTGATCAGAGCATCCTAGTACTGTGTTTTCAAAGCAGTCTTTCAAACAAGTTTAGCAGCTCATACTCTTATGCATGTAATAGGTAGGATCTGACTATCCTTAAGGCATATTTCTTATTGCTCCAGTATAAAGAATCTGGCTTTTTTGAATGGCACTAATCTCTTTAAAAACCACTCCTTTTTATCTAGATGTGCTTCTTTTTCTGGCCAAACTATAAGTTTTTCAAATCTTGATGCTCTGCTTTTTGCTTATGATATTCATTGTAAGTTTAGCTAAAACCAGCCAGCAATATCCATGCCACAGCCTGAATGTTATGCTGCCTTGAAAACCCTACTGCCAGATAAAGTAGTCTATCATTTTAAAATTCAGTCTTAGTCTCAGACCATGGACAAAAGGTAGACAAGTTCTCTGCCAGGATGGAACGTGAATGGCTTCTAGCGCAATTCCCAAGAGTCCTCTTCTTATCTGAAATCTCACAGGCACAGTCTTTCCTGTCCATGTTTCTGTTAGCATTCTGGTCTCTGGACCCACCTGACTACAGCTTTTTCTAGACTGTTTCTCCAAACTTTGCCAAACTTCTCCCACAAACAATTCCAGGTACTAATGGACCACACGGTCAGGTATGCGTAGTCACAGTGATTACCCCCCCGCCTGGCCAATTTTCCATGTTAGTCAGTGTCCAATCATTGTGACAAAATATCTGAAAAGAAATCACTGAAAGAGAAAAAGGCTTAATTTTGCTGTTTCATAGGTTTCGGTCTGTGATTAGGTGGTTACAGTGCTTTTAGGCCTAAGGTAAAGAGTCAGGAAAACCAGTATTTAATAACTTTTGAAAGTCTCTAGGCCTAAGGTGAGGCAGAAATGTCTTGTGGAGGAGAGGCAAGGGAGAGGAAAGTTGCTTGTGGCCCAGCAGCCAGGAAGCAGAGAGAGGAAAAGGCCAGAGATAAAGGGGCTGAGGAGAAAATAGTCTCCAAGTTAAGCCACGCTGACCTACCCTGTTAGGCACAGCTTCCTAAGTCTCAAGCAATCTCCCAGTGGAGATTGGGTAGGTCTAAAGCTGTGCAAGCCTGTAATCCCAGCTACGTGGGAACCTGAGGCATCAGTACTGTGTGTTCAAGATCAGCTGGGTAACACAGAAAGCCCTCCATCTGAAGTAATTTAAAGAGCAAAATAAAAGACAGATGATAGGAATCAGGGAGAGAGATTATGTGGAGGTGGGAGGGGTGGGGGGGGATAAAAAGGGTCAGATGTGACATTATATATAGGTACCATTCCCTATAATGAATGTATTTATTATATATTGCAAACATGTACTAATAAGGGAAAAATAAAAAGGATTAAGCAGTCTGATTTTTACAAACCTCCTAAGTGTTTTCTAAATAGTTTCCATTAAAAATGACATAGTTCTGTTGTTTTGTTGAAACCTTTTCTTTACCCTTTGAAGTCTAGATTATTGTATTAGTTGGACTCCGCAGTGTTGACTCCAATGGTCCCTAGAGCAGAAGTTCTTGTCAGACTCCCTGTTCTGTCTTTCCCTTGCTCTGCACGTGCTCTGTGCTGCAAGAAAGGGCAGGCTCTTGGGTCCTCGCGGTGGTTTTCTGGGCAATGGATTTCATCATGTTCTTTGACTTGCCTTTCATGGGTTCTATCTTAACGGGCATCCTTTTTGGACAAATATTCTCCCAGTGTGTCAGGAGGAATGGTGATGACCCCTGCTTGCCTCTAAGGCAAAGTGCTTTCCTTGGGGGAGGAGACAAGCTGGGAGCCTGAGGTAAAAGGATCAAACGTTCCTGACTTACTATGTTCACATCTCAAAAATGCCCGTGCGCACGCACACAAGAACACAACGGGGTTCAGTAGTGAGCTCTGTGTGAAGGCCCTGGGGCAACCCCCAGCTCCCCAGCACACACACATACACACACAAAGTGGAAACCTTTGAAATGGAAAGATAGGTGGAGTCAATTTGAAATCAAGATAAGAGAGGGCTGTTATATTTTCTACCTTTCATACTAGCTAAAAAAAAAAAAAAGTCCCACATCTGAGCCCAGGGTAGGACAGCACATAAAAACAGAAAAACCGGAGGGTTAGAAGGAATCATCAAGGCGAGGAGGCCTCCGAGCGTTAAGGCGCTAAGGTGCGTTAAGGTTCGAGCTAAGAAGTGCCTTGGTGAAGGAGGAAAGGCGCTTCTGCAAGCTTAGCGAGAGACGGAGGCTGCTGCTACAGACTGGAATTTCTCCATCTCTGGGCAGCCCCAGAGCGCGCAGCCTCAGCAAGCATCTTCTTGGCTGCCCCCGGGTGAGTGAGAGGAGGAAGCCAGGCTATTCCTTCTGGGGAGGCAGGAGAGAGGCGAGGCTTTCCTAAGAGTGGAAATGGGATAAGAACAGCTCCTCACTAAGCATCTGATGGGACTCAATCTTCATAGAATATATTTCCTGTTACTCAGGTCTGCTTTGATGCCTGTGAACTAAGTTTAACTTTTTTTTCCCCCTGCTGCTGGGGAAGGAACCCAGGGCCTCACAAGCAAGTGTTCTGCCACTGAGCTACACCCCCAGGTCCTATAATATTTTACATAACTGAATTCTGAATCGATCTTTTATTAGGTTTATTTCTTGCAAACCTGATCATTTTCACTTTTAATATAATTAGGCTTATTTTATCTATTGTACTTTTAAATTACCTATTTCTGGTGCTTAGGAAAGCAGCTAAAAGAATGAACTAAACGTGAATACCATGTGGCTATATCTGTAAAACAAGCAAAATACAAAATGAGAAACATATAATTTCTGTAAGTTAAAAGTGAGGCTGGGCATGGTGGTGCATGCTTGTAATCTCAGCTACTTGGAGGCTGAAGCAGAAAGACTGCAAGTTTGAGGCCCGGGGAAACTTAGCAAGACTAAGCAAGACCCTTAAAAACAAAAGGGGTGGGGATGTAGCTCAGTATTAGAGTGCTTGCCTAGCATTGGAAAAACTCTGGGTTCAATTTCTAGTATCACAAGAAAAGAAAGAGGAGGGAGGGGAAGGTAGAGAAGGAGAGCAGAGGGGAGGGGAGGGGAGTGGGGAGGAAAGAAAGAGGAAGGAAAAGCAAGGAAAGAAGGAGAGGGAAAAAGGGAAGAAGGAAAGGACAGAAAAGAAGGAAGGAAGGAAAGAAGGAAGGAAGACAGAAAGAAGAAAGGAAGAAAGTAAACACAAAATAATATATGTCGTTATGGAGACATACAAATATAAAAGTATGGGGACAAACTCTGAAATAGCACATACCAAAGTGGTTTCAGTAGTTGGCTCTGGTGTCAGGGAATAAGGAACTTCAGCTTCTCTATTGTAGAGGAAAAAGAAGGGGAAAAGGAAGGGAGGGAGGGGAGAAGGGAGGAGAGATCTTTAAGGAGTTTTTTCGTTTTATGTAAGAAAGAAGAGAGAGCAGAGGACAGGGAGGGGAGGTTAGGCTGCACCCCTGTGAACTCATTTCACCTTAACTGCCTCCCTTACAGTTGTCTTCGGAGAGTCGGTTTGGGAATGAGGGCTTCAACATAGGAATGTGGAAGGCAACACAACTCAATTGTTACCTTCTCCTAGCCTTTTAAAATAAAAGTATGAAGGAATTAATGTCGCTTCTGTACTTCTTTGACCAGGTCCCTCTGTCTTCATGGATTATACTCTTGAGCCCAATGCAACGACAATGACTGATTACTACTATTCTGATCTCATCCCAAGTCCCTGTGAGGAGGGAATCAGCACCAGGAGCAGCAAGTTGCTGCATGTCACTATTTACTGCCTCCTGTTTGTCTTTGGTCTTTTGGGAAACAGCCTGGTCATCTTGGTCCTCGTGGCCTGCAAGAAGCTGAAGAGCATCACGGACATCTACCTGTTGAACCTGGCCTTGTCTGATCTGCTTTTTGTCTTTTCTTTGCCCTTCCAAGCCTACTACCAGCTGGACCAGTGGGTGTTTGGGACCGTAATGTGTAAAATGGTCTCTGGCCTTTATTACATTGGCTTCTTCAGCAGCATGTTCTTTGTCACCCTCATGAGCTTGGACAGGTACCTGGCTATTGTCCATGCTGTGTATGCCGTGAAAGTGAGGACAGCCAGGATGGGCACAGGCCTGAGCCTGGCAGTGTGGCTGGCCACTTTTCTGGCCACCAGCCCATTGTTAATGTTTTACCAAGAGGCCTCCGAAGATGGCGTTCTAAAGTGTTATTTATTTTACAATGAGGAGGCTCTGAAGTGGAAGATCTTCATCCACTTTGAAATTAACATTGTGGGCTTGCTGGTCCCATTCACCATCTTTATGCTCTGCTATATCAGCATCCTACGTCAGCTGAGGAATTGCCAGAACCAGCAGAAGACCAGAGCCATCATGCTGGTGCTCATTGTGGTAGTGGCATCTTTGGTCTTCTGGGTCCCATTCAATGTGGTCCTCTTCGTCACGTCCCTGCACAGTCTGCACATCTTGAATGGGTGTGGCATGAGCCAGTGGCTGAGTTCTGCCACCCACATCACGCAGACCATTTCCTTCACTCACTGCTGCATGAACCCTGTTATCTATGCTTTTGTGGGCGAGAAGTTCAAGAAACACCTCTTAGAACTATTTCAGAAATGTTCCAGCCACATCTTTCTCTACATGGGAAGACAAATTTCCAGGGAGGGCTGGGAAAAGTCCTCCTTCTCCCACCAGCGCTCCTCCCATTCCTCCAGCGTGGACTGCATCTTGTGAGGAAGGTGTTTCTCCCTGTACTTCTTTAAAAACAACCATTACTTTGTTGGACTCTGGCTAGGAGAAGGGGAACTCTTAGAACTTTGGTTACAGACCTAAGACTTGGTTTATGATACCTAATGAATTCCTATTACAAATTAATCTCAACTTTCAAAAACACTGAGCTACTATTTTACTATTTTGCTGAGTTACTATTTTAATTGTGGAATATACTCTATATATTCCACAATTAAGTATAATGGTAGCAGTAGGGTATTTTTTAAACATTATGTTAGCAGCAGATTAAAGATGTTACCTTCTATTCTTGGTTTTCTGTGTGTATTTATCATATATGAATCTAAATTTTATTAAAGTCTTTTTTTCTTACCCATTGAAGTAATTATAAGATTTCTCCTCTATTACTCTGTTAATTTGGTGAACTACACTGATTGACTTTCTTTTCTTAAATCAACCTACATTTTTCCTAGAAAAAAAAAATGACCGCTTGGTCTTGGGATTTTTGTGTTTATGTTCATGAGAGATATTGTCCGTGATTTTCCTTTCTTATAACGGCCTGTAGGGACTGGTCTCCTAAAAATGATTAGAAAAGTGCCCTACTTTTCCCCATTCTCTGTTTGTGTTTGTGTAAGATATTTGGCATTACTTCCTCTTGGAATGTTCTGTAGAATTCCTTACTGAAACTTCAGGAATGGGGCTTCTCCCTGTGGCTTCTCTGAAGGAAGATTTCAAATTATGCATTAAATGTGACAGGACTCATCTGGAGATTAGTTTTTGTTCATCTCAGTTTTGAGCATGAAGTCACTCAGTTTCATCCTGTAGCCTTTTATTGTAGGAGGCTTCCAAGTAATACCCCATTTTCAGTCTTGATAACAACATTGTGAGTTTTCCCCTGACCCTGCTGGGCTTATCAGTTTCACTAATCTTTTCCAAGAAGCAGCTTTTGACCATGACGATTTCCTGCTTTTAGTTGTTCGTTTCTTTTTCATGCTCTTCATCCTACCTGCTTTCTTTGGATTTAATTAACTAACTTAGTTTTACACTAACCTCATCCCCCTCCCCTGTGTTTATTAGTATATATGCATTATACATAATAAATACATTCTTCTTAGGGAATTGGTCCATCTTGATCCTACACAAGCCATCTTGATCCTCTTTATTTCCCTTTCCCCTTTTCTCCCTCCCTCACCCCCAGGCACTGCTTTAGATGTATAAGTTAACTTTTTTTTTTTTTTTTTGCAGTGCTATGGACTGAACCTAGGGCCTTTGCACTGAGCTAAATGGCCCCCTCTTTTTATCTTATTTTCAGATAGGATCACTAAATTACTAAATTGCCCAGGCTGGGCTTGAAATATTGATCTTCCTGTCTCATCCTCTCACTGTGCTGGGATTGCAGATGTGTGTTACTATGTCGGACTTTCTACATGATAATATAATACATTTTCATGGTTTTTCATTTTAAGATCTTTCTATTTTCTGTTGTGTTTTCCACTTTGAATGTTGAGTTATTTAGGAATTAATTTTAAATTTTGAAAGGTGGGATCTACTCTTCTTAGAGAACATACACGTGCTTACTGTTCTTTGAAATTTATTAAGAATTATTTTATAATGCAAGATATGGTTTGTTCACTAAGTGCTCCAAGCACCCTTGAATAGGATTCTGCAGCTGGCTGTAGCTGATTCATCAGTGTTTAAGGCTTCTATAGTTTTGGTGACTTCTACTATTTGTTTATTCTGTAAATTACTAAGAGCTACATTAAAAGCTGTACCTGTAATTGTGGCTTGACAGTTTTTCATTTTAATCCTGTTTATTTTGCTCAGTGCATATTTTGAATCTATTAGGTGTATGAAAATATAGATTACACTTTTTATTGAATTTGTTTTTAGCATTATAAAATGCTTCTTTTTCCTCAGCAATATTTCCTGTTTTAAACTCTATGATGGGTTTCCACCCATACAAAATTCTTCCAAGCCATCATGGTGGCGATCCAGCATGGCATGGGGGCCCAAAAAGACAACGTGTCCCACTCAGACTGACTTCCGCCTTCTTCCTCTCCCACCTGACCTCCACTTTCCGTTTTCTTTCGCTCGTGCGCATCCACCCTTTCCCATTCGGTGCCTGTAATGTGGTCGCCTAAACCACCCCCATATACTCCACCCACAACCTAGCCCAATATATGCTTTATATCCGGCTTCCTCCCTCAGAGGGTCCTTTTTTTTTTTAGCTGCCCTCCTGTGCCTGGCAATAAAGGCTTGCTTTATCTTCGTTCTGTCTCTCACTTGCGACAAACCTAACAATCTACTGACCTTAGTGAAGATACGCCAGCTTTTATGCATTGTTTACTTTAGACCAAACCATTTTCTTATATTTAATGTGTTCCTTTTGTAAGCATGATTTAGTTCAGGCTTTTTTTTCCAGAAAGAAAGAGAGCTGTATTACCCATGTTATGGTTTCTGTCTCGATGTCCCCCAAGAGGTTCTTGCACTCAGACTGGGATTTTTAGAAGGTGACTAGATATATGGGGGAGCAATAGCTGACTTGTTGTTAGGAGTGGTATGGTTGGAAGAAGTGGGTGCCCTGTCATCTTAGTTATTTTTCTCTTGCTGAGACAAAATACCCAACACTCAAAACTCAAGGAGGAAAGGCTTATTTAGCTCACAGGTTGTGGAGGTTTCAGTCCAGTTATCAACTGGATCCAAGAGAGGGTGGTGTGACAGAGCGACAACACTTCAGAGCGGCAGAAGACAGCAAAAGCAACAAGAGGGAAAGGAGGGTGGGGAAGCAATCCGCTTTTGCTGCTTTATATTGTACACAGCTTGTCCCCCCGAGGGTGGGTCCTTTATACCTACACCATATCCCAGCCTTCCTCTTGCACAGGCTCAGGACGTTTACAAAGTGAGGACCCTGGCCTCTTGCTGAGTCCCTTAGTTGTGCTTCTCAAGTTGACACAACATATCAACCATTACACCTTCAGGATATATCTCCCTTCCTGGCTCCTTCCTTCTCTCTCTGCTTCCTGGTACCCTGAGGTGGTTAGTTTTCCTCCACCAGGCCCTTCCACCTTATACCTTCCTGCCTTAGAATCAGCAGAAACCTCTAGAATACACGAGCCAAGGAAAACTTATCCCCTGTTATGTTGCAGGTGTTGGGTATTCGGTCCCAGCCGGGAGGACAGTGACTAAGATAATGAGGATACATAGTATTACAAAAATCTAAAAATCATTTTGAAATAAAATACTGTATGGGATTTTAAAAAATACTTTTAAAGCCAGTTACAGTGGTATGTGCTTGTAGTCCCAATTATCTGGGGATATTGAGGCAGGAGTATTGCTTCATCCTAAGAATTCAAGGTCAGCCTGGGCAACAGAGTGAGACTCTATGCTTTAAAAAATTAATTTTAGAATAATTTTTATTTTCCAGCTTAACAGTATAACTTCAGTTATAGAGAAGACATTCTGCAAGGATCATGACACATATTTGGGGTGATATTTGTATTATTGCTGTAAAGAAGTACCTGAGATAATAAACTTAAAAGAGTTTTGGAGGTCCCAGTCCATGGTTGGTTGCCCTGTTGATTTGGACTTGTGGTGAGGCGGCACATCATGGTGGGAGCACATGGTGAAGTGAGCTGCTCATCTCATAGCATCTGGGAAGCTCCAGGAGGAGAAGAGGAAGGAGGTGGGTACCCAGTATCCCATTCAAGGTGGCACATCTCAGTGACCTCACATCCTTCCATTAAGCTCTATCCCTTACAGGTGCCACCACCTCCCGACAGTGCCAAGTGGGGACCAAGTCTTTGGGGAGAGTGCAGATCCAAACTACAGCAATACTGACGTAATATCCCTGGAGAGCCATGCAGTCATCCTGAGAAGGCATCTCGAAAATAGCCTTGTCTTCCAAAGTTTAAATATGTGCTTACAATATTCACATGACTTCTGAAAAGCATGAAAAGTTCCCTCCTTTCTTTTGCTCTAGACACAACTTCACTTAGTTCTGGATTTTCTGTGAGTTCTGTTGTTATATTGACATCAATAATAGCAACAGACAAACTCTCCTTGTTCTGAATCTTCAGAACTTGAAATACAGATCTAAATCTAACCATGTGGCAATTTCCTTATAGTCTGTCTCTTTGTAGAACTTCCACTTTACTTCCTCTGTTATCTAGTGCTTGTGAAATCCCATTTGCTTGGAGTAATTTCTTTGATTGGTGTCAGTAAGTGGAAGTGAAACATCTAAATAGAAGTGAAACATCAAATTCTAAATGTCCAAAGAGATTTCTCAGATCATTTGAAGACTCATTCTTCAGGACCTGGTGCGTTTCTTTTAATTTTTGGATTTTGTAGGTCTCTTCCCTCACACACTGGCCTGGGGGCTGTGATCTCAGTTCCAAGGTGGGGACTTTGGCCACTGTGCAGCCAAGGGTGGCACTGACAGGTACCTGGCCCGGCAGTGTGAGCTGTAACTTCCTGACTCCCACACAGCTCCCCACATGCATCCAGCTGGGGCGCACACATAGTTCAAACCATCTCCTGGACCTGCAGAGCTCCGCATCCCATTACTTAGAGTCCCACATTCACATCACATTCAGACTTGTTTATATCCCTAGGCACATTGCCATAGCTCTCTGTAGTCCCTTCACTTGGCGAGATTAGGGCCACTCAGGGGAGGGTGCTGCGGCTTGTATTTTAAAAATCCAACCTAATATCTTTGTGTCTTAATTGGACTGTTTAGCCCATACACATTCTATCAAAATATATAAAGGTGGGCGTGGTGGTGCAAACCTATGATCCCAGCACTCTGGGTGATGAGGTAGGAAGATCTGAATCCAAATGCAACCTGGGCAATTCAGCATCTTAATGAGATCCCATTTTAAAATTAAAACAATAAAAGGGTTGGATTGTAATGGCTTATGTCTAGATGTCCCCCCAAGGTCTCATGTGCTCATAGTTTGGGCTTTTGGGAGTGACTGGATCATTGCTGTGTGATACTGGATAATGGGTGTGTGACACTGGGTTAGCCCACTGATTTGTTTAGTATAGTTCTGCATGTTGTTGGATGGTTTTGCTGAAGAGGGAAGACCCACACTGGGTATAGATGGCACCAGCCAATAGGCTTGTTGCCTGGATAGAATAAAAGGGAAAGAAAAAGGAAGGTTCATTGCTTCCTGCTTCTCACTGCCATGCCATGGACTGTTTCTCGTCTGCCATATCCCCTTGATTTGGAGCCAGTCAACTATGGACTGAAACCTCTACCAACTATGAGCTGAAATAAACCTTTCTGCCTTTAACTTGTGGGTGTTGGGTATTGTGTCTCAGTGGCAAGGAAAGTAAGACAGGGACATATCTAAATGTGAAGGCCTTGAGTTTAATTTCC